ATCTAGAAATCCTTAAAATTTCCCGAATGTGTAATTTGACTGCCACAGTAACAAATTAAAAGTCTATCGATCAAGTACAAAACAAGAATTAATTTGTTACTGTGGCAGTCAAATCACACACTCAGACACGAGTTTTAAGGATTTCTAAATCTTGATTCTTGAATTGAATGAGAAGCTCAACAGAACACACATTTCAAAAAAGGAGAGAGCGAAAATTGATTTGGAAATCATACTTTCTCCCAACACTAACGGAATGATTATCATTTGACTGCTACGGAGCAAAATGTTTCCTTGCAATCTACAACTCTAAGATACAAACAAACACTACATCATTCTCAAATATTTGACACGTTTTGTTACAAATGTTCGTTAAGGTTGTTGGAGTTGTCGGCTTCATGGATCGGAGATTAGAAATTCCATCGAACATTGATCCTCAAGTTTCTTCTATCATCACTGATTGTTGGCGAAGGTATTTAATTAGTAGCTGATTCTATCGAGTTCTTTTTTTCTTCTATTAATGTTTAAAAAGACCAAAAGGAAAATTTAACTGATGCATCGCAAACTTGGTAGCAGCAGCCCTGAAGAACGTCCGTCATTTGAAGACATCATCCTCAAAATGACAGAGTTGGTACATCCGGGCGCTGGACTGATTGCCAGGTCAGCATCCGTGTCTTGAAATTGTCCTCACTAACACGAAGAGCAAGCAAACTATATCTGTTTTCTGTCGAGATAGATAAGGAGTTGGAATGTAAATGGAACAAGGGAAATAAGTAAATGGAAAAAAGATAAGTTAATAATAATGTAGTAAAATTAAAAAGGAATATTCTTGCTTGAATAGGTTAGGGATAGATATTTAGCATGGTTCTGTTTAGTTGTAATTTTGAATTTGCACTTTGCACCAATGTTTTTGGGGTAATTGCATTTTTAGTCCATCATGTTGGCACAATTTTCACTTTTACCCTTTATCTAATAAAAAAAACATCTGCAATTAATGTGTCAAGGTAAAAAAAGAAGTATATTCATATAATCATATTCATTACTTTTATTTTCCAAGTAGAGATGAGTTGGGATATTGATTTTATTTGTTAAATTAAAATCAAATTGGATATTTATGAAATGAAATAAAAAAAGAAGCATGAATTGGAAAGAAAAGAACACGTGATGAGGTGATAGAAGAGATAATAAATGGATGGGAAAAAAGAAGAAATATAGGGGATGTTTGGTTATGTTTCCAAAACGAATTTCTAGTTTTCAAAATTTCTGATGGAAAAAGTAGATTATTGGTTTTTGTGTAGAAAATGGGAATATGTTTGGATGAAGGTGTATTTTTAGTTTTATGTAGGTGTAGAAATGAGAATATGTTTGGTTGTGGTGAATTTTCTCTACGAAAGTACGTGCAAAAGTAGAATATAATGATTGATGATGATGATGATGGTGATGATGATGATGATTATTATAATAATAATAA